GATGATGATTCGGGCTGTTTGAACTCTGCCCTAGCTTGGGTTTCTTCTTCTCATTTCGGTTTTTTCTTCTTTCCTTTCTTTCTGTGCCCGTTCCCTACCATGGCTCGGGAGCTCCGGAGCTTCCTGTTCCCAGATCGGCCCCATGGTGCCACCAATGTTGTGCCTGAGCTCGGAGAGGTCGATTACCAGGAAGAGGTGTTCAAATCGTCCGCTGACAAGTACGAGGCCTACCTCGACGGACTCATCATGAAGGCAGAAAAACTTGGCATCTCCTTCCCCCGACCACCCTCGATCAACTCGATGCCTGACGATCATGGCACTTCGGGTGCCGACTCGAATGCGACTTTAGATGTCACCCGTGCGCGCACAATTTCCACAGGGTCACAGGCGTCTGCCAGTACTTCTCTGACCTCGCATTCGTCAAACAATGGTCACGGTCATACTAGCAAGGTCCTCACAAGGAAACGGTCACAAGGGCTGACATTCATGCAATACGAGAGCTACTTGTCCCATATTAAGCCGAACGTTGGTCCGTCCAAATTCTTAGCACCCCCGATAGCTGAAGCAACGCCCAGCGTTTTCAGTGTGAGCACGAGGAAAAGCTACAAGATACTTAGGGAAGGCATCTCGAAACTACGGGAACGGAGGAAAGCGGTAGCCGTGATTAGGTGAGTCTACATCGATCGTATTCGCTACTCGGCCATGTGAGATGGCAAAGACGTAGACAGATGGCTGATGCTTGCTTTACAGCTCCTGCAGCGCATGCCGTGAAGACATACAACCCAAACAACGGTTGCAAAAGCTGCCCTGCGGCCATAGCTACTGTCATGCTTGCTTACGTATCATGATCAACCAAGCCACGGCCGAAGAATCCAATATGCCGCCGCGGTGTTGTACGCAACCCATACCGAGCCAAGTCATCAAATCGATACTCTCGCGGGAAGAGCAGACCAGATTCTTGAAGGCGGTTCTCCAATTCAGCACCCCCTGGGAAAGCCGGGTCTTTTGCTCGAATCCGTTGTGTGGGGAGTTTATTCCACCACGCGCCAAGGTCGACCCAAAGCACCCCTTCAAAGTTGTGTGTCGCAAATGTCGGACACGCATATGCGTTATGTGCAAAAAAGATGCTCACCCTATCGGCCAGGATTGCCCAAATGATTGGGAGTTGGATGCTGTATTGAAAATAGGCGAGAGATCGGGTTGGCGGAGGTGTTATAAGTGCCGCACCTTAGTTGAGCTTACCTATGGATGCACTCATATAACGTGTAGGTGTCGCGCTCAGTTCTGCTATATTTGTGGTGCCGTCTGGGATCCTGTTGTTGGTTGCCCGAATTTCTGTAATGGTGATGAGGAGCTGGAGCGAAGGAGGGAAGAAGAGCAGGCGCGCATTGCGGCGCTCGAAGCCGAAGAAGCTATTAAACAAGAGGAGGCGGCGAGGGAAGAAGCTGAGGAACTAGAGGCCGAGGCGCGAACACGAAGCTGTCGCGAGTTCAAGGCACTACGTGACGAGCAGGTTAAAGAAATGGAACGATTCCGAGATTTTGAACAGAAATCGAAATGGCTCCTTTGGACACGGCACGCACAGCAGAAGAACCTGCTTGTCGAAAAACATTCGGCAGCCGTTGATAAGATGCTTGAGCGGCATGCCAAGACGTCTGCGAACCTCGAGGATCGACAAGTTGCCGGCGAGATGGAGCTACGCTGCACGCTGGAACAAAGTGAAAAACACGTACGGGTGCGACTAAAGCATATGGAGGCGTACTGTGATGGATTAGGCCGCAGCCCAACTTCGGAGATGCCGTCCCGGGTCGTGACCGAAAGGGACCTGCGTGAACTTGGGCAACAGTACAATCTCGAAAAGAACATGAAGCAACTCCATCAGGCTAAGATTAATGTGTTGCGGGATCGGCAGGCTAAGGCCTTAGAGCAACTGCTGGAGAGACAGGAATCCGAAGTGGAAAGATTGAGGGAGAAGAACGCCAGTGAGGTAGAGCATCTCGAGTCGGGCTTTGGGGATGAAGAAGACTCCCTAGCCACGACGTTCAGTGGGCGCCAATCGATGCTCGAAACACGCTGGAAACTGGAGATGGAGATCATGCGGAAAGAATTGGAGAACGAACGAGGTAAGAGGTACAACCTGTTACCCCCGTTGGAGTGGCCACAGGACAAAGAGCTATTCGAAGACAGCCTTGCCGTTGTGGTGGAGTGATTGGTTCGAGGGAACTTGAAACTTCGACTACATACACCAGACGAATGGTACCCTCTGGACCTAGTCGTATTCCAGTCACACGCATGTATTGACTGACTATTGGTGATCTGCGCATCGGTATTGCCGACTTGAATTTGCTTTCATTTGTTTCCATCAGCTCAAGCGACAGATATACCCAGGCGGTGGCAAAGTGGTTTTATGTATCATAAGAAGGCGTAAACAGCATTTGCGGTTATGCATTGGACGCACAGGACGTTGTCGGCGTTCTGATTGACGTATCTGTGGTTAGGTAGCTACCTGATAGTGTCTGAAACCGGTTGCCGGAGGGTAGCTCAGCATAGTCAGCCAAACTGTCTATTAGGTAAAGGGTTGCTCCAGATGTCTTAGCTACAACTGGTCAAATCGACTCCTTTAAACCATGCAAACACTGTGCTATTAGATTCATGGGACTGGGCAAGATTTGATGGCTGTATAACCTGAAGGACGTTGAATGGAATGCACATGTGGACAGAACAAGATTCTAAATAAAATTATTATTCGCATCAGCTATGTGCTTGAAAACCTTGTGCATATCTACGGTCTAAAGAGGCCTTCGAGTCGTATGCCGGCGATAGCATCGAGAATACTCATAAACCTCTCAGTTACCAATGCCTACAGTACGGCTCCCGCATACATGTTAAGATAAAACTGTGAGTGTAATCGATGCTGCTAATTCGATGATCTATATTGTCGTCAGTCAATGTGAAACATTCCAAATCTCGATTGACGATGAAGTACAGGAAAAGGCTGTCAGAATATGTAAGAAATAACTATCAGTTTTCTACACGATATAGCAGCTCCGGCGAGAGCGCCATCGAAATAGAATCAATCGCAAATTACCTCATCAGAAGCAATGGGAAGAAAAGAGAAGATGTTGGTGATTGAATAATGCTTACCTTTACCTATAAGGAACCACTTGGACGGATCCATGGATGCTGATGTACTGCTCCTGGTTGACAAAATCATGAAACAAGATTGATGTAGGTAGCAAGCAGACGGTAATGAAAGGACGCAGGTGAAGGAGCCCGTTTGGCTTTTTATAGCTGCTATTGAAATATTTTCGATAGAGCTACAGCAAATGAGAGCCCACTCGCGCCCCGCAGAGTTACGTGCTCTCATTGGACAGAAGCTGTTGTTGGCCGGCAAGGGCGTTGCCCAGACCTGACAGCTGGCAACTCGGGTACCCCCAGATTTGGTGCACACAGGAAATTTTGAGAAAGTGCGAACAAAAATCCATCATCCCGGAATCCCCTCCAACGACAGCAAGACGGCACCGATTGAGCCTCACATCGCGGCATCTTTGCACCCACCACTCAATCTGTAAGTACAGCTGCACGACCACCCACCGACGGCATTTCTACTCTGGCACCTTCTGCACATAGCCACAAGTACGAATTGGCTCCGAGTCCTCCACTGCAACCTTGAGCCCTCATTCGATAAATGCATTACGCATCGCACATCTCGTACCTCGAGCTGGGCTTTCACAACGCTTCCGTCACCATACCTCGCAACAGCAACCCCAATACTACTGCTACCATTTTTCTAACCGCCAGCTACACAGAAACTTGTCACCATGTCCGCGTCCATTGAGTCCCCGTCGTGGCGAACCGTCGAGGTCGGCCGCCTCGTCCTCGTCAACAACGGCCCCTACACCGGCCGGATCGCCGCCATTGTCGAGATCATCTCCGAGAAGCGCGTAAGTGTCGCCCGGCGTTTGGGAAGCGAGAATACCGAGAAAGCAAGAAGCGGTGGTTGACATGGCAATCTGCGTCTAGGTTCTGGTTGATGGACCCAGCTCCGAGGAGAAGTTCGTCGTTCCCAAGGGACCCATCGCCCTGACCGATGTACTCCTCACCGACCTCAAGCTCGAGATACCCCGCGCTGTCCGAACCGGCACGCTGAAGAGTTTCTGGGAGAAGGACGAGATCGACAGGAAGTGGCAGGACAGCAAGTGGGCCCAGCGCAGCCAGCGGACAGAGCGCAGAAAAGCTCTGACCGACTTCCAACGCTTCCAGCTCCTCCGCGCCAAGAAGCAGCAGCGATACGAGGTCCGAAAAGCCCTCGCCAAGGTCAAGGCCGCGGCATAGATTTGAGGGGGGAATAGAAGGGATGGAGCTCGATCCTGGTGAAGGAACAAGAGGCTCTCACGGCGGGAGCGGTTTCGGTCTTCTGCATGGCACATGGGCACGGGGTTGACGGATTCCTTTTGCTGCATCGTCTGGCAAGACCTGTATGTCACACACAAACTTATTTCTGAGGTGACCGGCGTCAATGATTACGGACCATTCACAAGCATTTTGATGATGCGTTTTCTTCACCCGGTATCGAACGTTATGCTTGCGTAGAGCAGGACAGCAGACTTGGAAGGACGGAGACTGCCATTGTGCCTCGCCTCTACGCGACGTATGTACCTAGATACTCGTCCTGTCTCATGATGCAATAGCCTGTACCGCCCCGCGAGTGAAGTTTGGTTGAAACGCCCGCGAGAGCTGAATCAAAATGATGCAACCAATCCACTGCTCCGATTCCCGCCTCCAGTATTGGATGAGGTATAGATTATAACTAGTAGGCGTTATGTAAATCGGTGGACTGCACAGGGTGAACTTAAGACAACATAACATACCACCAGGCTGAATTCACTGATATCGTTGAGCCGCCTAAAACAACAGCACGGCCCACACAGTTCAAAAAAGACAAAAACATACACCACTCTAACAGCTATAAGTGGCTTACAACACCAAAAACTATGCATTGGTCCCAGTGAGGCTTAAACTCACGGCCTTCGCATTACCGATGTTATAATTGTATTATAATATTAGTACGACGCTTTGACCAACTGAGCTATAAGACCATATGTTAAGCTACGTCATAACTTGCTTTATAATAATAAAGCAACATTGTTATGTTATAAAAACTAGGTATAAAAACATAATATTATTTATAAATAATTACTTTTAATACTAGTTATTAAGTTTAAAAGTTTATATATTATAATTAATTATATTATTAAAAAATTTATAAAAAATTATTATTATATAATATATATTAACCTTTTTATATAAGTTAAAATTTATTTTATTTTATTTTATTTTAATATAATATTTATTATATGTTATAATTAATGTTTTTTATAAAGGTAAAGCTCTTAGTTAAGGTCCCATTTATATATTAATCGTAGGATAAAGAAAAAAAGAAATATTATAAGTATAAAATATGTGTAAATAGATTTATGTGTGCACGGATAGCTGATTATATGACCAAAGGTAAGTTTGTTAATGTGTGTAGGTCTATCCTACAAGTGTTATATAGTAGCTAGCTATGACTTTATAGTTATAATAAATATAAGTTATATTAAGTTTATATTTAGTTTAAGTTTTATATTATATTTAATAAATATAATATAAGCTATATAATAAAAACGAAAATATAAATTAAAGGGAAAAAAACATATATAAATACTGCTAATAAAGCTAGCAATATTTATATGTATATAAGCTATCTATAGGTTAGCTGTTGCTAGGTGCCCCACCCCGTAGGGCGAGGTACTACTAGTAATAGCAATACTTATATATAACCCTTTAAGGGTCTTTATTAATATTTAATATTAAAATCAAGATTAATTTAAAGTATTTTTTAACAGCTTTATAGTAAACATATAAGCCCTTTTTAATGTTTACTTTAAGCTTGTTATATATTATACAATATACCTAATATTATTGCTTTAAAGCTAGGTAGGTAGTATAAAGGCTGATTTGCTGCTTTAGTAGATAATAATGCCTTTGACAAACACATGTGCATTTAAACATAGACATTTGGAATCGAGATCTCGGGACGGGACTGCGGGCACCTGCAAGTGAATGGATTCATTAATCGGGGTCCATTGTTATACCCGGCATAGTGCGACATGCCCGGGCATGTGGCTGGAGGGCCGCCCAGGTGTGGGCGGTTGGGCCACCTGCGATAACCCTAGCCAAACAATTGACATCAATTTGTGAACCGGGCGCCGCAACTTTTCCTCGCCAAATTCCAGGTACACCGAGTGACACCCATCCCCCACTACCTCTTCCCCGTAATAACCTCCCGGTTGCGACCTCTGTGATTGTTGTCGCTACTACATGTGAGTGTACTTTCTATTGGCAAATTCCCCTTTCCCCCTTTTCACTTCTGCTATACCTCCTTCTAAGAGCTTTCCTCTACTGGGTTGCAGTTGGTCTGTGTTGCGCCGAATTGCTGCCACGCTACATTTCGCTAGCCTCGCTTCCCGTGCCAGCCTTCTCCGCCTGCATCTGAACTAATTGTCGTCGCTTTCACCAGTATATTCTACCTCCGCCATGGCCAACCCACGTATTGAAGAGCTCCCCGACGAGGAGCCCCAGAAGGTCAGCGTCGAGGAGCAGGACGACGACGACAGCTCCGATTCTGGGATCGATGCCGGCGAGAGTGGCCCGACGGGCTCCAGTGCTGTGATCCACTCCCGCAACGAGAAGAAGGCTCGCAAGGCCATCGAGAAGCTTCACCTCACCCGTGTCGCCGGTATTACCCGGGTCACCCTTCGCCGGCCCAAGAACGTGAGTGGAAATGTTTTGCTATATTGCAGAGGATGGCCTACAACTACCTTCAGCCACATGGCGGGGTCAGTCTGCCACCGAGGGTTTCTCACGAATCAAGTCAAATAGACCTAGCCCTCCTACTAATAAACATGGCTCACCTGGAAATTTTCGTGCTGCTTTACTAACGAGATTATGTTATAGATCCTCTTTGTAATTAACAATCCCGAAGTGTATAAGTCACCTAACAGCAACACCTATATGTGAGCAATTGGATAACTTGGCGCAAAACAAAATTCACAACTAATTATCAACCTAGCGTCTTCGGTGAGGCTAAGATCGAGGATCTCAACTCGGCTGCCCAGCAAGCTGCTGCTCAGTCGCTCGCTGCCCAGGGCGGAGAGCACGACCACGCTGGTCACGACCACAGCCACGGCGACGCCGGCAAAGCTGTCGAGAGTGCCGAGGACAAGAAGGACGATGACGAAGATGACGAAGAAGTGGATGCGGATGGCCTGGAGGATAAGGACATTGAGCTAGTCATGACACAGGCAAACGTTTCCCGCACAAAGGCAATTAAGGCACTGAAGGAGAATGACAATGACATAGTAAATTCTATTATGGCGCTTAGCGTCTAAGAACCTTAGTATAGGATGTCTATGCCGACATTTTGTCAAAAGCTGCAATCTCAGTCGGCTGGCTGCATTACGACGGAATCATGATGCGCGTGGTCCAGATATATGGACCACAAAAAGGAATCCACAGGATTCTGTCATGATAACTACGATACCTTGCAAAAATGAAGACTCAGGATTATCGTAGAGTTCTCGTACGCGACTTAGAGATGCAACAGTGACGAGTAGTCTATATCACCCGTCTTGCTTTTGTTTACTGAAAGGGGACGCTTTGCGACTCAATCATAGCCCGTACCACGAACCTTTCAACCAGGATGGCGAGTAGCAAACGGGCATCAAAGCCGAGTAAACGTCCGAACCCAAAGAAATAGGGTATTAGTTGCATGTCTTAGGATTCGATGAGCAGTGCTGCACAATTCGCGTACTGTATATATCTCTCAGGTGGATCACGTGATGCAGGTCACGGGGTCCAAGGCCGGGGCTGCTCCATCCCATACGCCGCCGAGTGCTTCGGTAAAGACAAAACAACCTTTGCTGCGAATTGCTTCAGATCTCCACTCATTTACGTTCCTCATCACACCGCAACCATGGCCGCACCTGCAGTAAGTGCTTTCCGGATTGTTGAGCTGTGCTGGATTTCCGACTGCTGTGTCCATGCATCTCCGGGGGCAATTGGTCCGCCAAATGCCGATTGCTTGCCCGCGGCGCACTTCGCAAACAGATGAGCTAATTTTCTCTCTTCCGCCAACCCGCAGCGCAGCGCAGCCCTGAAGCTCGACTGGGCCAAGGTCACCTCCTCGCTCGGCCTCCGCGGCCAAACCGTCGCCTCTCTGCAAGCCTTCAAGCAGCGCAACGAGAACGCCCGCCGCAAGGTGCAGGTCCTCTCCGAGCAGCCGACCACCGTCGACTTCGCCCACTACCGTTCCGTCCTCAAGAACCAGGCCGTCGTCGCCGAGATCGAGAAGCGATTCGCCTCCTTCCAGCCCGCCAAGTACGACGTCGCCCGCCAGCTCAAGGCCATCGAAGTCTTCGAGGTCGAGGCTGTCAAGAACGCCCAGGCCACCAAAGAGAAGGTCGACCTTGAGCTCAAAGACCTCGAGAATACCCTGAAGAACATCGAGACGGCCCGGCCGTTCGAGGACCTCACTGTGGTATGTTGCACGTCTATCCGTTGGATGGTGATTGTGGTTGTAAGATGGGAGACGATTGTTGACCTTGCGCGTTATAGGACGAAGTTGCTGCTGCCGAGCCCTCCATCGACGAGAAGACCGCGAAGTTGGTTTCCAAGGGCCGCTGGTCCGTTCCCGGATACAAGGTATGGCCTTTGCCCTGTCGATGGTTCAGTCAAGAATTGAGGAAAACACTCGTACTGACCCACCTCCGCAGGAGAAATTCGGCGACCTTTCCGTACTATAGACAGCATGATGCATACCACCGCGTTCTTCCCTTTGTGTACTCTAGCATTGTAAATAGTCATCCCGGAGAGGTCATGGCACTGGAATCACACCACCAATTCCCGAATTCCATACGTGCAAGACGTCGATCGCATCTGGTCGTGAAGCTGTTTGAGTTCAACTACTAACAACACTGATTACGGTCTCCGGAATACGTATCCGCTATAGCCCATGTGTATACTACCATCGTCGTTCCTAATGTATATTGCCATTCGACTTATGTGTCACGGCACTCAATCACGACATGTATTGACTAAAGCCTCACTTCGTTGCCAATTTCAACAAGAAATTCCTCGGCAAAGTTTGGTTGTTTCATTGATGGTATAACTTCTTCAACGCGGTCACGCAACCAACCCCTTTGGGATGGTGCATTCGCAGATTACGACTAATAGAACATACGACTTTTTCCTGACAATAATTTTCATGGTCTTGGGTTTCGTTTTCTTGCGGCTAGCTACTTATATTGGATCGGCCTCTTGTAATGGGTACATAGACGAATAGCACTGGTCGTCATATATGAGAGAGACGGCGATAGCTCACATCTCAGAATTAAGAGCAGCATACTTCCCATTTCGCTATTGTACAACTGAGCCCGACTGACTTACAAAACTTACTAAGTTATCACAAGGTGCTTTTTTGAGCCGGGGCGTACCACCCGGTGTTCAGGCTTCTGCCTTATTGAAGCCTCACTTTCGAAGTGCTTCGAAAAGGCGGATACGTACGTGCATGTATAAAAGCCACACGCTGCAACATCTCACCACTTTAATTGCATATGTATACTACTACCTCTTCTGCAAAGGATACTTTGGATGAAGCTCTTTGCTGGGCCGCGACAACCCGGCCATTATAAGTATCCAATATAATTTTTAAAGACATCATGAAGGAAATACGGGCGTATAGAAACTGCTGTGTATCCCGTTCCTTTTGCATATGTAGACGAGTCCTCATCGATTGGTTACTGTTTCCGATTCATGGCTTTCACCATGGAGAGCAGAGCACGATTCTTTTGGAACATTATTGGTTAGTACAAAGGTATCAGGATGTATCACACTTGGGCTCTGAGCACCACAGATTCACGATATCTCCTAAACAATCCTTTCCGATCGTTCCTAATGACATGCGCAAGCCGTCTTATGAAAGACTCACTCATAATCGTCGACTTGGCGTCTGTTATCAGCACTAAGCAATAGTTTTATGGCTGGCGCATCATTCCCG